AAATTTCGACTTTTTACCATTGAAATTACATGAAATAATTGCTCTTAAACTAACTCAATAAATTCTTTCAAAAATGGCTTATTCGTTTCTGGTTTTTTTTAAGAGTATCTGTAACATTTGTATGAACATAAATATTTTTTGCAACTTAACAGTGTAATCATCAAACCATTATTTTGTGTATTTTGTATGGAGGTCGGTGCTGATGTGTCAGGTGTGTGAATTGGTATGATTGTGTTTGAAGAATGTGTAGTAAGTGGATGATGATTTTTGTAAATTATATCTTTGTTTCCATTTCTGTTATAATTTAGAATAAATTTCATTTATTCCACATTCTGCGTTTTGTCATTCATCTCATCTTGTGACACCAAAGCTGTGCCATCCCTTTCATCACAACCCAGAGCTGTGCCATCCTTTTCATCTCAACCCAGAGCTGTGCCATCCTTTTCATCTCAACCCAGGATTGTCCCATCCTTTTCATCTCAACCCAGAGCTGTCCCATCCTTTTCATCTCAACCCAGGATTGTCCCATCTTTTTCATCTCAACCCAGGATTGTCCCATCCTTTTCATCTCAACCCAGAGCTGTCCCATCCTTTTCATCTCAACCCAGAGCTGTGCTATCCTTTTCATCTCAACCCAGAGCTGTCCCATCCTTTTCATCTCAACCCAGAGCTGTCCCATTCTTTTCAGCTCAACCCAGAGCTGTCCTATCCTTTTCATCTCAACCCAGAGCTGTGCTATTCTTTTCATCTCAACCCAGGATTTCCCCATCCCTTTCATCTCAAACCAGAGCTATCCTGTCCTTTTCATCTCAACCCAGAGTAGGGCTCAAGGGGTGAGACTCGACTCGGACCCGAGTACTCGAAATTCATACCTTTCAAACAAACGATAGCGTAACCGGCATGACATGTGTTCAGATCACACAAGGGAACACTTACTTCTTTCCGACTTCATATCGTCGTGTGACTAACATTTCCTATTGGTCAGAATCAGTATTTGGATGTTTACTTGCCAAATGTGTTTTTTTGCTGGTTGTACTGCCTGCATAACACAGTGATATACCGCACAGGCGGCATTTGGTTATTTTTCTCTTTTCACTATCCAGATCAAGACACGCCCATACATTTGATTTCTTATCGTTCTCCGTGTCTGTTAAGATAGTTACCTAATCATTTTAAGAAGTGAAATCTCAAACGATGTATAATATTTACTCTGATCTGCAGACTTGTAACAACTACAGCCACACAGCCACACAGCCACACCATATGAGGAGTAAACTACTTAATCTAGGCGTTAATAAAAACATTATCAGATGGGTTAAAGAATTCAGGGTACATACAACTCAGTATGTCAGTGTCAATGGCTATCAATCTTCTTTCCTCTCAACCTCTACTGGAGCTCCACGGACTGTGTTCTTTCATCCGCACTCTTCGTTTTGTATACCAATGACTGTTACGTAGAGGGTAATGTCCGAGTAACTCTCCATTCCTTACAAATAATGGAGCCGAGGCCCCGGAGGGGCCGAGGTAGGGCTCTCACGAGTCCAAAATTTGGGACTCTAGTACTCGAGGTGTCAGACCCGACTCGGACCCGAGTACCCGACAATTTGGATGCTTATCTGAAACCAACTTTCAAGCATACACATAGCTGTTCCAACTTCCAATCTACGAATAATGCAACATGTATATGTGAATACAAACGTTCCTGAATAAAGCAATTGGTATTCAATGTCAATGGAAGTATCTATTACCTTTTTATTTGCAAACAGAATGTGAAGGCAACGTAAGTGTCACTGTGACCCAGTTCTACGCGATCAATTATGTGATTAATATTCATGAGCTGGGCCGGTGATACCTTATTACTTCCTGTAAATGCTGTAATATGATTGGATGTGTCCGGAAAAGAAACCAATCAATCTACTTCTCTTTTCTTTTGGTTTTAAGTTTGACTGCTTTCAAGATTATCTAATATTAATATGTCGCTGCAGTTATGACATATTAGCAACTTTTAAACATTCACCTGGACGATAAGTCACATAATCAATTAACCTTAATCACGGTTAAAATCGCGGCAAAACACGCTCCAAAGCTGGAAGATACATAGATAAAGCGTTCATTGATTGGTGCTGCATTAGATACTAGTATCTTGTAAAGATGGATCGACTATGGAACTTAAAGAATATGTAAAACAGGATTGATGTTTATTTGAGACTTCTTATAATGAAAACGGTTTGGTTTCAAACTAAAGACAAACCATTTATTGAGTAACACTACGCTGTATTTCTTCTTCCGAAACTCTGCTGAACGGAGATCACGTCAATGGTATTCATTGTGATTAAAATTTTCACTATTAAGGATATAGGTCTCCAAGTGTGAATGTTATTTTGAATGCGTTATGTATGTGTAGATTGTTGAATATGTAACACTGAAATACGCTGGATAAGAACGACTGAATATCTATGTAGAAAACAAGTTGTTCAAACATAGGTATAGTGGGCAGGGACAGTGATACAGCCGTGAGTGGTTACGCTTGTCCATGCGTCCGTGAGTTAGGGCAACGGCAGGTACTGTTTTGGGTACTGATATTTTGTTCTCCTTGCAAACTTCATACACGACTTTATGAGGTAGTTGTGAATTGCGGCAGTACATGGGACCTGGTAATTTGGGTTCAATGGTTCACAGAAAGCCCTGAAACCCTCCCCTTTAACAAGACTTAATGGTCGATATCCTTAACGCCAAGCATAAGCATTGCTTTTATGCGTAATACCTTCATACCATTTCCTGTCAACAGGCTTGCAACTTTTGCTATCAAACTTACCAAACTGCCCCAGCGTTGCTTGTTGAGCTGGTTTTCTGTCTACAGTGCTTATTGTGGGTGCTTACAGGACAAATGCTTGCGTAAATAAGGGAAACGCCACAAAGACGGCATTTCGTATTTTGGCCACTAAATCAAGATAAAAATGCGTCCAGACATTGGATTTTTTCTCACGATCATCCATCTTGATTGCATGAGATGTTTAGAGGTATCTCCCCTGCGAGTCCTCGAGTCCATTCAATTGGACTCGAGTCCTGCTTTTCCCGACCCGACTCGGCCCCGAGTACCCGAGTACTCCTCGTGAGAGCCCTAGGCCGAGGCACATTATTTTTAAGGAATGGAGAGTTACTAGGGTATTACCCTACTTAAATTACATTCAAAGTATTGGGAATATATCTGTTATCAAAATTAAATGTCAAAATGACAAAATGAAGGTTTTATTTTGCAACTGGTACACATCGCTCCATTCCTGAAAAGTAATGGAGCGAACAGACAATAGAATGACGTCACAAATGTAATTGAATTGTCATTACATGACTTGTTTATTGTGAAATTCGCAGATGACGCCACTGTTACTGGCCTAATTTCTGATTCTGAACCTTGTTATCGTCAAGTCATTGACAAAACCGTAATGACAGTTTTTAACAAACCTTTATTCAAAGTGTGTTGACCTACAATTTTCTATGTTGGTATGGGGCCTGTCTGATCGCAACAAAAACAAACTTTTCAAAATTGTTAATACTACCGACAAAATTTCGAGTATATTCCCTTTATCTATGAGCGCCACGATGGTCAAGAAGGCAACTAAAATTAGATTTGATAGTTAACATATTTCATCTCACCATTTTGAAGTACTTTTTTCTGGACGCTGCCGTCGATTACCTTCCCTCAAAAGAAACAGAGCTCGACAGACTTTCATACCATCAAGTATTCGTGAATGCAACAAATATTTAGAATTATCACCATGTGATAACAACTAGAATTATTCAGCCTCTTTACCTGTGTGGTTAATGGAATTATATCATGTCAGATTTATTGTGTAAATAGCTTTCGTTTTGTGCATGTAATTATTGTGTATATTTTTGTGAACTGTGTATATATTCATTAAATTTGAGACAGTTTGGATGTATAAGAATTTCCTCCGGGATAATAAAGTTATATCTTATCTTAATATTAGACATTAACGGACGCTCATCCTCAGCACATGGCAGACAGACAGTCTGTCAACGTAACCCAATAATTCGAGTTATCTCCCCTTTTCGAGTCCTAGAAAATGGACTCGAGTCCAGCTAAACCCAACTTGTCCTCGAGTACTCGAGTACCCGTGGAAGCCCTAACCCAGAGGTGTACCATTCTTTTCATCTCAACCCATGATTTTCCCATCCCTTTCATCACAACCCAGAGCTGTCCCATCCTTTTCATCTCAACCCCGAGCTGTGCCATTCTTTTCATCTCAACCCAGAGCTGTGCTATTCTTTTCATTTCAACCCAGGATTGTCCCATCCCTTTCATCTCAACCCAGGATTGTCCCATCCTTTTCATCTCAACCCAGAGCTGTCCCATCCTTTTCATCTCAACCAAGAGCTGTCCCATCCTTTCATCTCAACCCAGAACTGTGTCATCCTTTCATCTCAACCGAGAGCTGTGTCATCCTTTCATCTCAACCCAGAGCTGTCCCATCCTTTCATCTCATCCTTTTCATCTCAACCCAGAGCTGTGTCATCCTCTCATCTCAACCCAGAGCTGTGTCATCCTTTCATCTTCAGAGCTGTCATCCTTTCATCTCAACCGAGAGCTGTGTCATCCTTTCATCTCAACCCAGAGCTGTCCCATCCCTTTCATCACAACCCAGAGCTGTGTCATCCTTTCATCTCAACCGAGAGCTGTGTCATCCTTTCATCTCAACCGAGAGCTGTGTCATCCTTTCATCTCAACCCAGAGCTGTGTCATCCTTTCATCTCAACCCAGAGCTGTGTCATCCTTTCATCTCAACCCAGAGTTGTGTCATCCTTTCATCTCAATCCAGAGCTGTCCCATCCCTTTCATCACAACCCAGAGCTGTTATCACTTCCATACCAACAATGTAAGAGCTTTTTCTTTACAGCACTTTTATAAGCATCCGAAAGCATGTACTTTTAAGTAGTAATGGTATTCAATGATAATTATTTTCAACTAATCAAACAAAATGTGTATAAAAATCAATTTATTTCAGTTCATTTTAAGTGATATTAACCCTGTGAAATGATCTGTGTCTAGCATAAGAAGATGACTGTACACACATATGATTAGTGCATCACTTGGATCTGGTTCCTCAGTAGGTCGAAACACTCAGGGTCACAACACTACAACACACTACCAGGACAGTGGATGCCTTGTGTACAATAGTCCTGTATCAGTGGAGATCCTCAGTTGTCACAGTCTGTTTGCTACTGAAGATGTCTCATGTCTCATAAATGTCTCACTGAATAATGAACAGTTTCATGGCTTACAGTCATAACTGAACAGTCATCAGTGTCCAGAATTCCTTTTCTCCATGGATTGTGAGACCAGACAAAAGTTCCGTTAATATCCGAAAGGGTGTCATTTCTTCCATTTTTCCTGGTGTTGATATGCTGTCATAGGTTTGCCCCCTACTCCACATGTTCCGACCCCAACCTTGCCCTTGTCCCCATCAGGGGTTGCAAATATGCTCTTCTTGACACGACCTTTGTTTGTCTTGGAAAATGTCTGCAAAAGAAAAAGGTCATAATATTGTGAAAACAAGAAGGGGACTACCTTGAGTAACAAAGGCAAAGAAGGTCACATAAAACCATTGATATACACACTTGGTCTGAAGATAGGCCAAATAAAACTGTTTACATATAAAATTTAACTCACTTGAGATACAGCGGGTTACTTATAATTTCCTGAATACTGTGTGATACCATTTTTGAATTACCTGATCTATTTCATTTCAAAGTCATATTCCACACTAATATTTGCCCCATATGTACCAGTCCATTCAAATCCCTTCATACAGACAATAAGAAATACATCATAAGTGACATTTCCATGAAAACATATATCTAACATAAACATGTCATAACACCAGATCAATCTTTGCAACTGATAGTGTTGCTAAATACAGAAGACTCACTGTGTTTTCAGTGACTGATTTTACATAATCAGATTCCAGAAAACATGGAATAGTGAAACAGCAAAACAGTATTCAATAACTAACTTCATTGAAGTCACTGAGAATCATATGGTTATAAAGAAGGATAACAATTTATGGACGAACGACTTCTTCATTAGTGTACTTCAACTTGTAAATGCCCCTCAAAGATGTTGTCATAAAGAGGTCAACACTTTCATTGTGTATTAGTGGGCTATAACTTGATTATAATCATGTGTGTCTTCAATGCTTCTTTGGTTTGTGGAGAACCTTGACAGGAGCCATAACTTTTAAAATTGAAACAGAATTGTAATCTGATTAGAACCTTGACAATGACACTGGCCTTCACATGAAACAGAGGTGTATATTTGGGGAGAACCGTGACAATGACACTTGCCTTCACATGAAACAGAGGTGTATATTTGGGGAGAACTGTGACAATGGCCCTGGCTTTCACATGGAAACAGAGGTGTATATCTGGGGAGAAGCGTGACAATGGCCCTGGCTTTCACATGGAAACAGAGGTGTATATCTGGGGAGAACCGTGACAATTCGAGGCCTTCACATGGAAACAGAGGTGTATATCTGGGGAAAACTTGACAATTGCCCTGGCCTTCTCATGGAAACAGAGGTGTATATTTGGGAGAACTGTGACAGTGTCTTTAAAGGGGCACTGATGTAGAGTGATTCCTATTTTATGCCAAACATCTAATTATATCATCTTGTTGCCAGGTGGTCAGTCCCTGGCCCTCAAACGCGACGGACACAGGGACTGGGCAGCTGTCCACCTGTCATTCTACCTGTGATTTTATACCAAAGGATGCATATACCAGAGAACGCAACCCAGTCAAGACTTCTAGGATATCATCCAGGTACTAGTGGGAAAACAACAAAAGCAACAACCAATCATGTGGAATTGCTCCATTTAACTTTTGACAATAAAATAGAGATGTTCATTTGATGATAACCTTTAACCTTGACTTTTGACATGGAAACAGAGGGACTTAGACAATAGCCTTGGCAATGAACATGGAAACAGATGGACTTTGACAATAGCCTTGACAATGAACATGGAAACAGAGGGACTTTGACAATAGCCTTGACAATGAACATGGAAACAGAGGGACTTAGACAATAGCCTTGACAATGAACATGGAAACAGAGGGACTTAGACAATAGCCTTGACAATGAACATGGAAACAGAGGGACTTTGACAATAGCCTTGACAATGAACATGGAAACAGAGGGACTTAGACAACAGCCTTGACAATGAACATGGAAACAGAGGGACTTAGACAATAGCCTTGACAATGAACATGGAAACAGAGGGATTTTGACAATAGCCTTGACAATGAGCATGGAAACAGAGGGACTTTGACAATAGCCTTGACAATGAACATGGAAACAGAGGGACTTTGACAATAGCCTTGACTATGGACATAGACTAAACACATAAATTGTGCAAAGTGAGAAAAATATTCAACTTAAATAATCACATCAAAGCATGTCTCAAATAATATACACATGTGCTCAAGCCTGAATATTTTATAACTTGCAGTTGAATTGTTCCTGGCAGTTTGATGAAGTCATTCACAGACAATATCAGCTATGGTGTATTATTGCAAGTAAATTACTTGTGGCAGGAGCTTAATAAAGAAGCTGTTTCACATCTAAACATTGAATGATAAACAGTTTGTGCCGATGGGAAAGCAGTTGTTATATCTCGTAACTCCCAACAGTTTTTCTTTTGGTTTAGCACCAGTGAAGTAAATGATATACAAGTGTCTGGAATCTTGTTTTGCCCTGAAATCACCTTGGCATTGAATGACTGCCACTTGCTCTTCTCTTGCTCACGTTCTTCCTCTAACATCTTCATTCGCAGGGCTTTCTTCTGAGCTTTCTTCCTCTTATATTCCCTCTGTTGTACTGCTAAATCTTTCCTGAAACATAAATGATGTCAATAAACAGGTAATGTTTCAGTACATGTCTATATACAGGTAATGTTCCAGTACATGTCCATATAAAGATACTGTTCCAGTACATGTCAATATACAGGTAATGTTCTAGTACATGTCAATATACAGGTGATGTTTCAGTACACGTCTATTTACAGGTAATGGTTCAGTACAGGTCCATATAACAGTTATGTTTCAGTACATGTCTATATACAGGTGATGTTTCAGCACATGTCTATATGTCTATACACAGGTGATGTTTCAGTACATGTTTATATGTCTATACACAGGTGATGTTTCAGTACATGTCTATATACAGATAATGTTTCAGTACATATCAATATACAGGTAATGTTCCAGTACATGTCTATATACAGGTGATGTTTCAGTACATGTCTATATACAGATAATGTTTCAGTACATGTCTATATACAGGTGATGTTTTAGTACATGTCAGTATACAACCCCTCCACTGACATTTTCTCAAAGCTTCTGAAGTCATAAAAATACTATCCTGTATCCTGTACAGACAAAATGTGTTTCACAATAACCTCATATATCACCAGTCTTCAATAGATACGTCCCCAACATTTGTTGTGTTATCATACATACAATCAATAAGAACTATTGGTTGATAATTCCTTTGATTACCGCCGACTTCACTGGTATAGTATATAGAGATTAATACCCAAGCGTAGATGTCATATTGTATTTACAACACAGGTGTCTTAGAAATGATATTCAGAAGGCCCTAATTACAAATAACAGTGTTTTACTGGCAGTTGTTGAAGGTGATCTAAATATAGCCTTGAAGTGAATGAATACAAATACAGAGAGGTCAATTCACTGCGCAGGAACTGTTGTAGGACAAAAATTTCGAGCGAATTTAAAATAGTCAAAATAGAAAAAAGCAGTCCAGCATTCCGATGTCACGTGATTGACACAACTGGCCATTGAAATGGCCTCTACGGTTTATTACATGTGGGCAACGTATCGAAGATATGTCATCACTTATCTTTAACACATATATATAATGAAAGACCATACTATAAACCATTCTATAAACCTGGCATAACAGCTAATGGAACAGCTCCTGACTAGCTGGGGTCATCTGACCTGGCTGTGCTGAGTTGCACCTGAATGTGTGCTGGTGCTGTTCCACCAGCCGTTTGTCACCCCTCGGTGTGAAGCGTGAAAATAGCACAATTTTACATTATGGTTTCTTAAACAACTTTTTCCGTGATCGATCAAAATATGTCTGATTTCAGATCCTGTTGAGTACAGAGGTTTCAGGACCATGTGTCTTATTTATGTGTTGTGCACTTATACCCTATTTCGAGATATTAAATCATTCATCATTCTCATTTGAACCCAAACGGACTTATACATTGCTAGAAGATGACAGAAGTCCCAGAAAAGAAGCTCACATTGACAATTGTTAGCAGCAGTGGCAGTGGCAGTGATTAACTGAAGAAACCCTTAAAGCAATCCTGTTTCACATTTCTTTCAGATGATTCAGACCTACTTTGACTTTGGCTTGTTGTCTGTCTGTCTGTCCAGTGACTGACTTGGATCAGCTGGCTTCAGTGAAGATATCTGGATGTGAAAATATCAGTCTGTTAATGACAAAATATATTGTTCACAAATGGACAAAATCATTAATGATGATTATAAAAACAGGGCTCCAAATAAGGGCCATATTGGCATATGTACGGATATAAACTGTGCATGATAAGGTAGGAAATAATTTAGAAAACGTAGCAGATACTCACCACAGCAATGGTGTATGGTCTTAGAATCATTTACAGACATATTTATCTAAAAAAGTATTGTTTCATTGTTTATTGACCTGTTTACACAAGAGTAGCAAAGTTGTGGTGCAAATATGAATTGTTGATACTCCCTTAAATTCCATTCAGTACTCATAATGTACACTTAACTTTTTCAAGTACACCTGTATTGAAAATATAAGGAGTATGTACTCCTGATGTTGAAAAATTATCCGGAGCCCTGATAAAAAGCAATGTTTATGTGATGACCCTGTTTAGGATGATTGTCTTAGGATACTACAGGTACAACTACTGTAGCACTGAACCAGGATACTACAGGTACAACTACTGTAGCACTGAACCAGGATACTACAGGTACAACTACTGTAGCACTGAACCAGGATACTACAGGTACAACTTCTGTAGCACTGAACCAGGATACTACAGGTACAACTACTGTAGCACTGAACCAGGATACTACAGGTACAACTACTGTAGCACTGAACCAGGATACTACAGGTACAACTACTGTAGCACTGAACCAGGATACTACAGGTACAACTACTGTAGCACTGAACCAGGATACTACAAGTACAACTACTGTAGCACTGAACCAGGATACTACAAGTACAACTTCTGTAGCACTGAACCAGGATACTACAAGTACAACTTCTGTAGCACTGAACCAGGATACTACAGGTACAACTACTGTAGCACTGAACCAGGATACTACAGGTACAACTACTGTAGCACTGAACCAGGATACTACAAGTACAACTACTGTAGCACTGAACCAGGATACTACAGGTATAACTACTGTAGCACTGAACCAGGATACTACAGGTACAACTACTGTAGCACTGAACCAGGATACTACAGGTACAACTACTGTAGCACTGAACCAGGATACTACAGGTACAACTTCTGTAGCACTGAACCAGGATACTACAGGTACAACTACTGTAGCACTGAACCAGGATACTACAGGTACAACTACTGTAGCACTGAACCAGGATACTACAGGTACAACTACTGTAGCACTGAACCAGGATACTACAGGTACAACTACTGTAGCACTGAACCAGGATACTACAGGTACAACTACTGTAGCACTGAACCAGGATACTACAAGTACAACTACTGTAGCACTGAACCAGGATACTACAAGTACAACTTCTGTAGCACTGAACCAGGATACTACAAGTACAACTTCTGTAGCACTGAACCAGGATACTACAGGTACAACTACTGTAGCACTGAACCAGGATACTACAGGTACAACTACTGTAGCACTGAACCAGGATACTACAAGTACAACTACTGTAGCACTGAACCAGGATACTACAGGTATAACTACTGTAGCACTGAACCAGGATACTAAAGCAATCAGCTGTGCACATGTTTCCCGGCGAACAAGTTCAAACATGCACAATAATATAACGGGACGAATTCTGAAGCAGTCATCAGTAAAATATAATACAGAATTACTTGGGCTTCAATCGAACAGAAACCAGTTACTCGTGCACAAAAATAACCCCTTTACACCTACCTGTTATTTTTACGATTGTAACATAAACAGGTATGTATACAATGAAACACAATTAGAATAAATATAACACAAATCTATTTATTTTCTAATTCCTTTTATTAACACTTTAGATTTCCAGTCATGAATTCAAAATGGCTCGAACAATCAGTGATACCTGTGTAAACAGTTATGTGAAAATCGCCGTTACAAATTAAGACCGGGATTCCCTTCGAATATTCAAAGTGTACAACATTGGTACTTTTACTGGAGAGATGTGACAAGTGTCATGTATCGTCTAGCAAAAATACCTGACACGATAATGTCAGTGCCTGTCCATTGTGAGATCGATGTGCCTCGATGTTTCTTTGATGCATTGATGAAGATGACATTTTTCACTGATACAGTATGATGAAGACCCACTTCCAACTCCGAGCTATTATGTGATTCCAATGTTATCAAATTCTCTCATGACAATCAGAACAAAAACACACTCGTTGAAACAATGTATCAACATGGAACGTTTTGCTAGGCTTCATGAGTGCAAATGGCGGCACACGTCCTTTCTATTCAATCAAACATCATCATCATCATCATCATATATACATTTGTATAGCGCCGATATCCAGCTCCGCTCAGCTGCTCAAAGGCGCTTTGTTTTTCCCTCGTTCACTGGATGTCAATCTCAACGGCACATCGTATTGTCAATCTCAACTCCCTGGGGAGCATACAAACTCTTGCAGCCACTAGGCGCACCGAGTTATTGTGGCATTCCCATCCTTACGAGGTACCCATTCACAGCTGGGTGCACTGGGACACATAGTCACAGTACTTTGTCCAAGTTCACTGCACGTTGCTGTACCCGCAACTGGGTGTTTGCACGTATTCATGTGGCCACCATCTGGTCATATACCTACGGATTCGTGGGTTCTTTTAAGTGCACAGGGTTGTGTACTGTACACTAGGGGTTGTGACAACACTGAAAGAGTCTGCACACAAAGTTGACTCCAAGGTTTTTACACCCGGTCACAGGTGGGCTCGATCCCGTCACCTCAAGCTCGCTGGATCACTAGCCTGGCGCTTTAGCCAGTTCGCCCACCGCGCCCCCATGTACAGGAACGGTTGATCTACACATAAGTCATTGCTCAAGATATTCCTTCGACGCATGATAATGCAAAGTTTATGTCTTGATAACATACAGGATGTAATTAACTCACATTTCATACTGACAACTCCGTAAATTCGGTTACATTCCAAGTGGCAGTTTCTGGCTCGGGAAAACGAGAAGGATGTGGCGAAGAAGAGTAGTCCCCATTGACAGTGAACGTAACCTCAGCAATGTCACATTCAAGCACATTGGGTGCACCTAATGACACACACTCAATAGTTTTGGCTCCGGTCGATGGGAGAACATTGAACAGAAACTGGTACACAAGTACAGATCCCCAGTGTGCAGAGATATCCGAAACAATCTTCCGATGACGACAACCACCAAGCAATAACGATGACGTCACACGCTCAAATATTTTTTGCTTGCAAGAATTAAAATCATTCACATTTGCACGGTAACATCATTGTTTTAGAGTGTTTAATTAATTTTCTGTGATGTTATCTAGTTTTAATTATCACTAATGCCTTTATGATGAGAAGAGGTGGCAGAAACTTTTTTGTGGAGGGTCACCATGGGGATGAGTAGTGATTAGGAAGCCAAGTGACGTCACTCATTCATAAACGTTGTGTTGTGTATTATTGCGCACCTACGATGAGAACATATGAAATTTGAATCCATTTGACCATACAATGGTGCGATTTTATGGTGTGTAAGAAACAGATTACTGTACTCGTGTCTGTCAGATACCATTTATATTACAACTCGTTGTTTTGAAACGTATTTAACTCGCTTTTGCTCGTTAAATACGTTTTGAAACAACTCGTAAGATAAATGGTATCTGACAGACACTCGTTTAGTAATCTCTATGTCTCATGTGGCTACAAGTACAAATAGATCAGCACAGCTGCTAATTATACTTTAGTGGAAAGCAGTACACACACAATAGACCTAAACCCTTATTACAGGTACCATAGTCCTGTGAAACATATTTTTTGTGTGGATAAAAATGACATGTTATACTGACTCATACTAAGTAATTGTAATTGATCTTCAGTAACCCATGCTTGTCGTAAAAGGTGACTAACGGGATCGGGTGGTCAGACTCGCTGACTTGGTTGACACGTCGTTGAATCGAGTTGCGCAGATTGATGCTCATGCTTTTGATCACTGGATTGACTGGTCCAGACTAGACTATTTACAGACTGCCGCCATACAGCTGGAATAATGCTGAGTGCAGCATAAAACTAAACTCACTTACTCATACTTATTGCTTATCTCCCCTTTCTCCTGAAACCTCTGTCCTATGTTCCCATGAAAAGTATAAAAATAGCTCACGCCAAATGGGGCCTCTCCCTCGCCTGCAATAACAAGCGGCCCATGTGACTGCCAACAGCTTGTCACTCTCTCCAAAGCCAAAGGAAATTCTTTTGCATAAACCAAATGGTGGAGAAGTGGGGATGGTTGGGAGGGCATTCAGATTATGAGTTTCTATCACAAAAAATACGCGTTTCCTTGTCCTGATTCATACTTATTGCTTGAATCAAACAGATAGATAGTGGGTCAGCCATCTATTGGATTACAATAAAACTGTTCAATCCACCCCATGGGAACTCTTCAAATCTTCAGGTTACTGCGTCAATATGTGGGGGACCACCTACTCTTAATTAAAAAAGAAGTAAATCGTTAGATGTTGTATATTTTTAAGACTTGCAAAGAATTATATTCTCACTTATTTTGGTTCGATCCATATGTTAAAAATAGAGCACTCATGCTCTGATTTATCTAGTAAAACAGGGGACATGGACTCTCTGTCGGTGTTTATGGAAGAGTAACCTGATGTCTATGAATCTATGAGATTATGGGTAAGTAGTTATCGCCCACCCCTCCCCACAATCCTACTCTCCAATGCTAGATCCCTGGAAAACAAACTTTCTGAACTACACGCCTGTGTGTCATACATCTACGAGTACAGAGAAAGTTGACTACTTTGCTTCACAGAGACCTGGATTAGTGAAAGTGTTGATGATTCTGTGTTGAAGCTGAATGGATTTGGTACACCCCTACGTCAAGACCGCCAATCGAAGGACACAGGAAAATCGATTGGAGGGGGTGTGTGTATCTATGTAAATAAAAAGTGGTGTAGTAATGTTATAGTCAGGGACAGATTTTGTACAAAAGACATTGAACTCTT